AACATATATACATAAATACAAATCTAAAACATAATGAAAATACAGTTACAACTCTAGTGCGTTCACAAATAACAAAAAGTTTAGAGGATAAAACAAGAGCATCAAACAATACAGAGATGGCACACCAATACAAGTAGTGTTATCGAGATTTAGATAATAGATCGTCATACAGTAGCAACAATACCTCAACACGAATATCACATAACGCTTTTAAAATCACCACACGGATGGCTGGATCAAGATTTTTGTACGCTTCAATCTCCCGCCTACAAGATTAAGAAGAGAAGCTCATAAATGCATCACTCATCGGTTACCATGATATTCAGAAAATTATAACAACTCACCCTTGCGAGGCAACAATAGGGAGGTCCCCTTCTGCGACCTAGATGAGTAGGTGAAGATCATGTCAGAAGATCATATAATGCAAAAAGTACTTCATTTATCAGGACAAAGAAGTTTAGCAATCATTACCCAATGCCAGCAATCTCTTATTTTTCTGCACAGGACAGTTACCCAGGTATCACGGGTGAGAGCCATTCGAGTTACAGGAGGAATGGCCTGCAATTTGAAAAGAAGAAAATGGTATATTGCTCATAGAGAGAAACTATTAAGAAATTTGAACATTTCATAGTATTGGAGAATACAGTTAATTCCAAATCATGATTGATTAGTATCAACATAAACCAAAAACAACTGCAGCACTTTAGAGTAAAATTGCAATAATAAATATGCACAACAAAAAAGTATCATGATATCATGAAAACGATCAAGGACTTCAATCAGGGGACTCTAAAAAAGTCATGAAGGCGCAGAAATACTAGTGATCTGTACTGGGCAGTACAGGCCTACGAGGAAAGCTACCCAAAAACATAGATGTTATATCTTGGTCAATCAGCAGCTCAGCCAAAATGATTTGAAGTAAGAGTCCCTTCAATCCAAACTGAGAAAGACTCAGTAAGCTAAAGAGATAGTTGAACAAGCTGGTTGTAGTCTACCCAAGCCGCATTATAAAGGGGCTTCCAAAAATTTTAGTCCTACCCATTGGAATATTTATTTTGAAGTGCAGACAAAGATACACCCAGGATTCAAAGAGAAGCAAATTCATGTGAACTAGAGGTAACATTACTTTGTAAGCAAATTGCAGTTAAGATATAGGACACTAACACATCTTTAACAAGTCCCCTTCTATTTCTCACTGGCCACAGCACCCCAGATTCCATATAACATCTAAACTTTTCACAGAATCTTCTCACTCAAAACTAAGGCAAGTTTTCTGTTCTAGAACCATTTAATACGTCAAAAAATGTCTTATCACTAGTTTTCTTACTAATAAGAGCCAACACTCGGTCTAAAGCACCCAAACAAAGTTCTGTTCATGTCAATGAGACAACCTCTAGTAGTACATTGAAGGTAAATACAAACAGAAACCAACAAGAATTAGGGAAAAATCAATAAGACACGAGTAGTACACCAAATGAGTAGAAATGAACACAACTAATGGATGACCAAAGCACCAACCTTTAGCAGAGGAATATGAATATCACTTAAAGTATCGTTTGGAGTAAGCAAAGCCGTTTCAAACTCCTCCGCTGAAAACTCCGCATTGATTTTCAAAAGCGGTCTAAATACCTTCATCACCATCCAGAAAAAGAAACAAAAAAAAGATGAGCTTTGAGAGTTAGTTTACTCAATGGCAGCTAAGAACCAGAAATATCAGAGAATTGAAGAAAACAGAGAGCTCACATGCAAGAAATTGAGCACAGAAGCAAGTTCCCACATAGAACGAAGATTCCATCGCGGCATCTGTGAAGGTTCCGGTGGTGGAACAAGAGAAGTAATGATTTTAGCAGAACTTCCTCCAGCAACGTGCTGCGGCTTACTCTCATCATTTCCGTCCTCTTCTTGCTCTTGATCATCATCATCATCCACATCCTCATCTTCCTCCACAACCTCTTCTCTCCGTCGATGCTGCTCTCGTTTATACTCCTTCTTAGGCGGCTTAAGCTTCCTCTCCGCCGCTTGAAGCTCCTGAAGCCGCTGCTGTGCCCTAACAGTACAAGCCCGAGAAGGACGCGTTCTCCTAAGCGTCGAAGGCTCCTCCTTTGGAATTTTGGTATCTGTAACCGGAGCTACATCGTCGGCTGGAGATCGGTCAGGGACGATATCGGAGGAGGAACCCATTAGAGAGGATTAGAGATCAAAGATCTAAATTAGGGTTTATTTTTTTGGGTTACAATTGAGCTTTTTAGGGAGAGAGAATCAAAACCCTTAAGGCATTGTGGGGAAATCGAAATCGGTTAATCAGGAGACAAGGAGGAAGAAAGGAAGGTCCAAAAGCGTCGACTGGTGTTGGGTTCTAAAACGTTGTCGTTTTTGGGGTTTGTGTGTGAGAGAGAGGAAGAAGAAAATCTGAGGAAAAGAAGATTGAGATGGTAAATAAAATGTCAAATAGGTCTCTCAGAGAATTGATCAGAGGAAAGGAAACAACGACTCTAAAAGCGAGAGTGAAACTCGAGGACAGGCGAAATAGGGGCTCACAGTTTTATTAGGGCTCTCTCAAGATATAAAATATATATTGTTTTCTTTATTAACCCAACAAAAAAAAAACTTTATTGATTTTTGAACAAAAAAAAAAATCTTTTTATAAATAGTAGTATTAGATTTGTTACTATAAAAGAACTACAGAAATTTTCGATTTAACAAATTTTTTAAAAACATTACAAAGATAATTGTATGAAAATATTGATTTGGGAAACATAACTAGGTCTAGGTGTATATCAACATGACAATTGAAGAAACCCATTAAAAAGATACATGATTACCATCTCAAGTAAAGGATCTCTAAATAGCAAGGCTCATCATTAATGATCTTCTCAATCAGTCCAAGGAGGTATAAAAATCTACCATTGGCTTCTTACATTAATACTTCATTTATGTCACACTGCTAAACTCCATGGACTAAACATTAGAAACGAATTTAAAGTTTTAACCTAACTTCTCCAAAAACCAAAGAACCTCACACAAATATATGTACTTGTATTTTTACATAGTTTAGATTTTACAATCAATAATACATTTTAACAATCCCATGTTTGTATATACAAAACACAAATGGCTCTGTTGTACAACATTGTGTACATAAATTAATGATATTCACAAGTCACAACTCTTATCGACGATGCAACCTCTTCTCGAAGATCTGTCGATATAGCGTCTTTGTCCGAAAAACCAACACACATGAGACAAGAAATCCTAGGAAAGCCACAGATGCAATGATCACAAATGCCAATCGGAAACAATGAGGACCGTAACACGTGTTACCTTCCCCGGTAATGGTATGATCATAGATATACCCAATTAATCTTACAGAGAAGATATATGAACCCATAGGACTAGCAATCGAAATGGTGTTGTAGATTGTGCCCATGTGCTTAACCCCGAACAGTTCTGATGTAATTGTTGGCATTAACGACCATTGTGAGCCATAACAAATGCCTACGATTATCGAACCGGGGTAAAGATTTCCTTGAAAACCAGAGGCTATGATTAGATGACCTATGGTCATGGTTCCAAGAGTTGTAGCCATTAGCAACGGACGCGGCCATCCTTTTCTGTGTAGCAATAAATCCGAGGCATAACCGGCTCCAAACCGACCAATAAAGTTCCATATACTCCATAAAGCCAACAATGAGTTTATCTCGACGCTAGTGTATCGAAGAGACTCACCTATTTGTCTGATATTGTTTATCGTCGAAATTCCAGATCCCATTCCACATATCATGGCAAGAAACAACAACCAGAAGTCTACATTACGCATAGCTTGTAAAACATTCAAGCTTTTGTCTTCATCTAACACCACAACCTCTCCAGAGGTTTTGGTTTCCAGTTTGTCTACCAAAGGAGAATAAAGAGATGACAACGGTTTCTCGACACTGCCTCGGCGTGCTCTTACCGCAACTAGTAGAGGCGATGCAAGCAAAACGAGTAGAACTGCAAGTGTGACGGCATTGGCCCCTGATGGTAAACTTAAAATGGTCTTCAGAATAATAGTAATCATAAGGTAAGCTGCAATGATAAGCGACAAAGCTGATAAACCATCCAAATGCTTCTTCTCATGGACTGTGCTTGTCTTGTATATCCTGACTAGAGGCATCACCAAGACAGAGAGAAGTGAAGGTACTATTGCAAGTAGAAGAATAAAAGTCTTTGGATCTCCAGGACATATTGTTTCATAAAGCTGAATTAACATTGCTCCGCTTAGACCAACAAAACCCTGCAAAGAACAAGCGCAAAGGCATAATTGATAATTTTCCAAATCAAGAACCCAAACTTCGAGTCCTCTGTCTTGTGAGGTTCAATTTAACTAATTTAATTTATCAGAATCAGAGTGAAAATATATCAATCCTAAGGTCACAAAGAACTAGAAGTAACAAGATATCAACTCTAAGCAAAGAAAATTTCATAAAAATTGAGCCTTTCTTATACCTTCATAATGCCAACAGCAGTGCCACCATAATCAGCAAAATTCTCTAAAGAGCTCACAACATTTGCCGTGTTAAGAAACGTCAAAGACTGTGCAGCTATGAACATAAATAGACACATAACCGGAACCGGAGGCCGTGTAATTAAACCGGTAACAGAAGCCCACATTAGGAAATAACCGGTGAAGTTCAAAATCGCTCCGATCAAAATCACCACCCACGGTCCTTCTCGACGTTCCCGTCCATCACGGCGACGGCGACTGAAGGTGGCTGCAGTGTATACAAGTCCCGATAAAACTCCAACGTTACCACCAATGTCTTTGAAGACGGAGACTGTATCAAGGGTTGATTGGTCGTAAGATTGAGTTGACTTTAAGATGGCGGAGTAGATTCCGAAGGTGTAGGAACCTCCTCCGGTACACTGGATCCATATACTCACCGTCATCGCCATCCATTTCGTTCTGAGAATCTCCGTCGCCATCTTCCGCCGGAGAAGAAAAAGACAGAATTACAGTACTTACTTTGTCCACCTCTTGGCGCAAACTGTGCACGAATTTGATAGTTTTGTATGTTGAACCAATTTTTTTTTTTAAATCAGTTTTATTTTCTTTAGGTTCGTTCTTGGGCTTGGGCTCGGGCTCATCGAAGCTGAATATTAGGCCCATTTAGTTCGCCGTTTGCCACGCAACAGCCACATGGTGACACGTGTTGGACAGTTGGGAGAGATTAATTAACGGGGATGGTGACGGGATCACCCAATGAACGTCACGTAATGAGTCATTTATATTTTGGTCACGTCAATTATTTAGCAAATCCAACTATTTAAACTCTTTTTGTTTTTGGCAGAGTCAATTATTTTTTAGTTTTATGTTTGAGTGTGTATATAAACCAGGCTAATGGTGGGGGTTAAATAATATTAAAACAAATTATATCATATATGATGTAGATGACAAAATAAATTTGATATCTTTTGATTCAAATTTCAAAAATTTATATACTAATTTGTTATCTTTTAACGACGAATGAATCTATCTTACCGAAAAAAAAAACGACAGACTACGGTTGAAGAGCCATAGACCATAGGTTCCTCATCGACGCCGAAATCGCCAGAGAAACTCAGATCTACGGTTCACGAGGTTGCGATCAGAAGATGAAGAAGAGAGAGGAGCGAGACGCGAGTAAACTCACGCGCTCTCCTTTTAATTCAAATTTCAAAAATTGATATACTAATTTGTTATCTTTTAACGACGAATGAATCTAACTTCTTGCAACAATTAGAAACATGACGAATAGTTTAACAGACAATTGTAAATTTGTAATTACATTACAAAATTTGTGAAAAATAATTATATATGTGACACATTCACATGGATAATGATTAATGAAGACAAATATTTTTTATTTGCAGAACGTTAGAGATCTATGGAAAACTTTACTTTATTAATCTGCTAAATTTGCATCAAACATTATACCTTATGTAAAAGAATTAAATAACCTATTGGTCAACTACTTGGATCAAAGAAGTTTCCATGCAAAATTTTATATTATATGCCTTAAAAATAAAACAATGTTTTTGTCGGAGATAAATTTACAAATGGAAGAAAAAAACAGTAAAGGACAAATAGAAAAATGGGGGATCACATGGGGACCAACAAGTAAATAAATCCTGCCTACCAAAAAAAAAAAACAAGTAAATAAATCCCGCCAATGTATGATAAAAGCCTTATTGGTTGTTAAGTTTTTATAACGTCTCCATCACTTGTGTAATATAATAAAACCCTTAAAAATTAATTAACAAACCCTTAATCTACACAGCAGAGAGAGAGAGAGAGAGAGAGAGAGAGAGAGCTTGAAGACGACGACGATGATCGAGCCTTTAAATAACCTTCTCTTCTCGTCAACGCGTTTCCTTCTTCTTTCCTTCTTTTTCTTCTCTTCTACCTCCACCTCCTCTCCTGTTTATGGTGGATGGGAGTTGGATATCCTCTTCCACTTCCGCCGGACAAGAACCGTCGGGAGGTTAATAAACCGCCGGATATTGCGTCGACTTCTTCCTCCTCCGCTTCGGCGGTGAATGCTCGGTTGTCCGATGCTCCCATTCTTTTGTTTGTTTACTTCCACAAGGCTTTCCGTGCGCAGCTAGCGGAGCTCCACTTTCTGGCCGGTGATACCGTCCGGTCCGGTTCCGATCTAGCGGTGGAGCTCCGGTATAAGTTTGATTTTCTTAAGCTTGTATATAAGTATCATTCCGCAGCTGAAGATGAGGTTAGATCTCGAGCTAATTAAAGTCACAATAAGGAAACATGGAGATAAAGTTTTTTTAATATCGTTTACTTTTTTAATATCGTTTAAGTAAAACAATGGATACTCTCTAATTTTGAGAAATTAGCAAAATTATGCATTTTAGGTACTGATGATTCATATATGAGCTAAATATTTAGCTATCATCTTTTTTGCTGGCTACGAATTGGTTTTACTAGTAGATTCTGGAAATTCTCTGCTTGTCTTTGTTGTCAGAATATATATAGCACACCAAAAGATTACACGATCTTACATAGAGCTAAAAAGTCAACGAGTGAGAGTGCACATAGTCTTTTTAGGATCAAAAACTTGAATAGTTAAAAAAAAAAAAAAAAAAAACTTGAATAGTTCTTAAGTACATTTTGTTTTCACAATCCCTTTAATGTTTGTTTTACTGGCAGGTTATATTTTCAGCTTTGGACACTCGTGTGAAGAACATTGTTTTCAATTACTCGCTTGAACATGATGCCACAGATGATCTTTTCACTTCTGTTTTTCATTGGCTAAATGTTCTTGAAGAGGAGAAAGGGAACAGAGCCCATGTACTTCGTGAAGTTGTTTTATGCATTGGCACAATTCAGTCATCCATATGTCAACATATGCTTAAAGAAGAGCGGCAGGTATATATATAGGCTTTGGCTTGTCACAATTACACTGTCTTTTGCATATGGTACTCAGAAACTATCTTATAGATAGTCACATTTTGGAGCCTGAGCAGCCATATATATTCTGTATTGCAGGTGTTTCCTTTGAT